GTGTGTATATATATATATATATGTGTGTGTGTGTGTGTATGTGTGTACGTATATATATATGTATGTATGTATATATATTTATGTATGTATGTGTTTATATATATGTATGTATGCATGTGTGTGTGTATATACATATATATACATATATATATATATATATGTATGTGTGTGTGTGTGTGTGTGTGTGTGTGTGTGTGTATAAACCATATGGATTGTTTATTTAAAATGTTACAGTATTTAAATTTAAATTGTTTATTTAAGGAGGGCGATTGGGAGTAACAGGTGATGTATGATTGCAGCCTGGCATATGTCATGACAAAGGTTACTATACTTGAACTTGGACTACTGTATCCCTACTTACTACAAAGTTCATGCTCAGTCATCCTGGTATCAACTCCAATAATTCTCAATCAGGTCATCTGGACAGTTTCTTTTCTATAGAAAAGTTTCGCCCTCCATCCGGAGGGCTTCATCTGCCGGTTTTCACTTATTGCGTGTGGACGTGGTCCCTAAAACCTGCCATAAATGAGGCACTACTGTATATGAATGTTTCTGTTAACTTATTATTTTATATATGAATGTGTCTGTTCAATGCCCTGAGACGACGTCTGTCGTGACTTGGCGCGATATAAATAAACTTAATTTAATTAAATATCCAACCTGTGGAGCACATGTAACACTCAATGTGTTTACAGTGCTAGGATACACAATAGGACCAGTGCTAGGTTCGGCTATGGGGGTAGTAAAATGTGTAGGTGTATTAATGACCACAGACCAGACAAGAAGTTTAAAACTGCCGGCTTATTTTTTAAAAAGCAAAAGACAAAAAATAATATAACAATTTGATATACACAACACAAACATCAATATAAAATAGTTTATCCATTCTCAAGATGTTCAGTTTAAATCCTTTTTTTAATATTAAACCTAATGTTAGATATTAACAGGGATACTATTTTTTCTCAACCTAGGTTATTGTTCTAATTCCAGGGTCTACTGTTAATCTAATTTTCCACTCACATTACCACAATAGTAACTTAAATTTCATCTATATTTCCTGAACATATGCTAAAATCATAACCAGAAGCTGTGGCAGCTCAGTGGTTAAGTGTCAAACACTGTAATCCTGGGGCTGCATGTTTGAGCTCATGTTGCTTTGTGGAGGGTATTTTGTGTAAAACAATTCCCAAATCTACAGGTTCACACATTTTGGCAACCCCTGCAGAAGGAAACAGTTGAAAGATACACAAAATTATAGCCCAAACTCATTCTAGAGTACACCTTTGTAGATCATTCTTGATTTGTTACTGGGATGAAAGTTAGACTATTTAGTCAGTTTAAAGTAAAATTGGCAAAATCCCTCATTTTATTTTATTTTTTTACAGTCATTGGAAAGAAAAGTTACTGAAGCAAAAAACACACACATAAGCAATGTATTGATATTATAATCAATATGGCTGTATTGAAGAAAATAAGCGTTGCTGGCAGGTTTGTCCTCATCTATTCAGACAACACATCTTGGTGCTCCTGCAGTCATCATCAGCATTCATGACAGTGAGGGAAGAACCATCGCCTACCTCAAAGTCATGGCGGCACTGAAACACAAAACAAAAATCAATCAATCAATCTTTCCATAGAATCCTTAAGCTGAGAGTAAATGAGGAGCATTACCTCTTTTACCCACCTCATACTGGTGTCATGCACTGAGTTCCACACCCATTAGGCAAGCATATTTTACCATATTTGCAAGGTCTGATGTCAGAGCATTCCTCAATACATGTCCCAATTTTTTTCTCCGGGTGGACTTTTGTCAGTTTCAAAAACAAAAATAGAAAAATTAGGTTTTTGAAAGTAAGTTATAAAAACCACCTGAATGCAATTTTTTTTTAACAAATGTTTCATCACCTAAATCGATTTAACATAACTGGATTCAAAGTAATTTGGGGCATTGTCCTGGTTTAATCCAAGTCTTGATAGTTGCCGAGTGAAAACAGAAATAAATGCTAAAATGTTTTAAAAGCAAAAAGTCTGACATGAGTTTTGAGAGGAATCTGATTTTATCACCCACTGCTTATGGGGAAGCAAAAGCAGGAACCACTACTCTAT